AGCAGCAAATACGAGACACCAAACTCCAAAGATGAAACAAATTCAAAAGAAAAACACAAAAATGATAATAAGCTTTGAAGAGCCTGCAAACACTATAAAAGGTGAATTTGCAGCGCTTGCTCGAGCCTTTAACAAGTCTCCCTCCTCCTCCATCCCCCCACCCCCACCCCTGTTGCTCTTGGACTCTCTTACCCTAGAGCAGTGGTTGGCAAACAGCAGTTCACAAGCCACATGTGGCTCAGGAGCTGTGGTTTGCCACTCTGTTGACTAATGAGTTTGCTGACCACTGCCCTAGAGGAACTGCAGACCCAAACTATTGCCAGTGGATGGAATAATGAATTCTGAATTTTGACTCTACTAATCTGATGCCACAGCTATAAGTAAAACCAGAAGCTGTCCCCTGCCTTGTGGAGGCTCTTAGCTCCTACAGGAGCAGGTTCTGCTGCTGGATGTCTGTTGGCCATGGGAGACTGGCCACTAAATGGAAAAGGTCAGGGGAGCAGTGATAAAATGATGCTTAGCACAAAGCTTTGTCCGAGTACCTTCTAATTCAGGATATTATACCCTTTGTCTGCCTTTGCATTAAATTATTGAACTACAGTAGCTTCAATGTTAAGCAAAGAAAGCAGGAATCTTCAAAGTTGTACACACAGGACAAGAATGATCACATTAAAATGCATAGCACAGGAAACTGCTAACATTAACAATGATTTGTCTCTAGGAGGGGGAACAATCTGGAAGGGGATATTTTTCTGCTTATTGACATTTATTTTGTATTTTCCAAAATTTCTAGAAGATGAGACACTTACTTCATAATAAGAAAACACAAACAAGTAGCAATCACAAACCCTGTGGCAGGGACAAGTGCAATTAGAGCTGGAGCTCATTGCTTGGTGAGTCTCCACAGGATTCATTAACAGGTCCTACTGTTTGATGCAACATAACATAAAGGAAATTCCAAAAAAAACCAGTGCATTGCTCCTAAAGCACATCCTGGCATAGCCTGAGCCAGAGGGAAGAGAGATGCCTTAGAACGAGGGAAAATGGCAGGAAACAGAGACACTGGAATAATAATTAAAAAAAAAAAAAGAGGGTAAATCTGAGTCCTGGCCATGGGAACTCCACAAAGGGAGAAACAGGGAGGAGAATTTTCATATCAGATAAGCCTTAAGGAGACCAGAGGGGAGCAGAGTGGGCAACGGAATTCACAACCAGGGTCACCATAGCAGCCTTGGGCCGTTGGACTTCACAGTGATGGGACTGGAACAACTGTGTAGTATGTGAAAGGCTCTGCCTGGAATGAAGCGGAAAGGCCCTCGCTAGGGAAAACGCAGTTGGCCCCACAGACCACCTGTTCCGTGTTGGGATGGAGTGAGGGGGGATCAAGAGTAAGGCATGCTTGATGGATGATGACAATACTCTTTTTATATGCTCAAAATGTCCTCACAGGTTCACATATAGACTTTCTAGAATATCAGTGACATCCCACCTTAAGCTCCTAGGGCCAAACACTCCTTTAAGCACTCCCACTGCTCTCCCACACACAGAGAGCCCAACCTATGACACACCCATGCTCCAACATTTACAGGGACAGTGCTAAAGAGTGGTTTGGGAGAGTTAGCTTTATCACCCTCCCTACTTAACATCTATTCTTTGATATAGACATTTTCTCAATCATAGGCAAATGCAGCTTCAAGCCATCCTCTACCCAACCCCACTGCCATCCCCAAGACACTGCTTTCTAGAAATTCTTGTGTCTCCACTATATCGCCAGGAATGTGTCAACATTTTCAACTCTTAGTTTTATCTACCAAGGGGAAGAGCTGGTGTCCTGCCTGTTTAGTTCTGCCAGCCTGTGCCACTGCTCTGGTAGACAAGATGATCTTCCAAGGGCGTCAGTAATCTCTACGTACCAAGTCTCGTGTGATTAATTTCATTCTCCTCTACCATGATCCAGCATTTTTCCATAGTGAAAAATATACTCCGCCAACAAAACATGCAAATATTTTGCTATCTACACTTATGAAGACCCTACTCCATTTTATATGTGGACTTATTCAGGTAAATGACTCCTAAAAATGTCATGTTCATCCAGAACAATTCCCACGCTCTAAATGTTTTTCTTCTCCCAAATCTTTCAAAAGCTCTAAGTGGCTATTTTCAAGCAGTTTGCCATTCTCATCCCAAGTTCACAGCACTCATCTAATCAGATCCTGTAACTGAGCAACTTAGAGTTGGCACTGAAAAGTTTCTCGTTGCTTAGTGGTGCCTAGGAACTGATTTTGTTTTTTTCTGTATAGGAGACAGCCAACTTCACAGCTAATCCTCCAGCTGTCATATGGGTGAAAGGGGTAACACGTTCTCCCAGAATGCCACTGGGCTCCTCTGGGCAATCACGCCCTGCCCAGCTGTCTTTGAAAAACTTGAAGTTCTGGGAAAAACAGAAGAATCTTGTCAGACAAATGGGTGGATGTGACGCTGCAGAGATGCCACCACCAGGGCACTCATGTGGTGCTGGGCAGAAGGGCCTTCCATGACTTTGCAGAGGTGGGGCCTCCAAGGGTCAGGGTCAGATGTTCTTTCTTGTCCCAGGGTGATGTGTTGTTGTTTTTTTAAAATTCCTAATCAGACAACTCCTTTAATAGGATTCACACTGCCAACCTCAACCTGTTTATGGATCCAGTAACCAAAATGTGTCATTTGAAATTCCCCCAAACAAGAATCTGAACCTCTAGGTCAAGATGGGGAACAGAGATGGCAAAGGTGAGCAATGCTGTCCATGTTTGACGCTCAGTGAGGCAATGCACAGGACCTAACTAGAGATATTTCTGCTCTCTAAACAAAATCAGTTTTGCCACTGGCTCCACATGTGATGCTGACTTAAACCTTCCTGGGTCTCAAGTGTCTCATCATTAAAAAGGTTGACATCTTTTTACTCTGAAAGCTGGGAGACAAGGGCAAAACCTGGGCAGGAGCCACAGGCTGCATACCTGCCCTGTAATCGGTGACCCTGCCCTGACAGGCCTGAAGCTTATTAGCTTGAATCCCCCACTTCCTTCCCAGGCCCCCCTCTCCCTGCTTCAGTTCAGCTCTTGTTGATCTATTGTCTGGCTTACAGCAATGGTTCCAGCACCATCTCTGTGCCCCCAACCCAGTGATTCTCAACCAGGGAGCATTTTTGTTACTCAGGAACATCTACAGTAGCAATACATGGAGGCACTTTTGGTTGTCAAGACTGATGGGATACTACTGGCATCTACTGGGTGAAGCCAGGGGTACTGCTAAACATTGGACAATGCACCAGCAAACCCCCAACAAAGAATTATGCAGCTCAAAAGGTCAATACTTGTGAGATTAAAAAATAAATCCAGGCATACCCACCTCTCATCTACCATCTGCCACCACGTGATACAAAATACAATTCCAATCTGATCTTTCCATGCTTGAAATCCTCCAGTGCCCTCAGGTCAAAGTCTAAAGCCTCCTACAAATCATGGTCTGGCCCTTTCCTAGCCTTGTGCCACACCTGAAATTGTTCCCCTAATCCTGTGGTCAACAAACTGTGGCTTGTGAGCCACATGCGGCTCTTTGGCCCCTTGAGTGTGGCTCTTCCACAAAATACCATGGCCTGGGTGAATCTATTTTGAAGAAGTAGCATTAGAAGAAGGTTAAATTTAAAAAAAATTTTGGCTCTCAAAAGAAATTTCAATTGTTATACTGTTGATATTTGGCTCTGTTGACTAATGTCTTTGCCTACCACTACCCTAATCCCTCTTCCCCAAGCCACATGAGCAACCAACACAGGTGGACCAGACCTCCCACAATTCCTTCTGCCTCTCAGTCTCACCCATTCATTCCTCTGCCCATCAATTCTATGTCAGACATTCTAATAGGACTAAAAGGGAACTCAAAAAAAAAAAAAAAAAAAAAAAAAAAAAAAAAAAAAGCTTTAATGGTTAGAGTTTTGTTTTTGTTTTTTTCCAGGAAAAGATTGATGAATTATCTCTCCTCAAGTCTATTTGCATCCAATTCTATTATGAACTAAAAAGTTTTCCCCATGAAATAATTCTTGATATTAAGCTGTAGGTAAAGGAGATCTTTTGGGGACACAGTGACCTGCTCTTTTGAAACTTCCCAGGATCCAGATTTTAAATGATATGTCTCTCTCACATCTCTCTCTCTCTCTCTCTCTCTCTCTCTCTCACTCACACACACACACACACACACACACACACACACAATATAAATTAATTCAATAAATAAATAACTCATCTAATTCTTTTGTGTGTGTTTTTAAAGGAAATTAATAGGAGAGATTTGTCTCACAAATACCAGCAGCAAACAAATATGGTGAGATTATTTCTGGAATTAAGTTTCTAAAAGCACAAAATAAGAGGCCTAGAAGCACTTATCTGATAGTCTTTTAAAAATATAACAACGTTTGGGTTGAAGTAGAGTCTACATATTTTAGCTTATATCAAAGCTGTCAGATAAGGACTTGTGGAAAAAGGAATAAAAGGCTGGAGAAATATGAAACAGAAAGGGGATAACCAGTGTGGGGATACTTGTGATAAACCTTTATACTATACCCACTAATGCAATTGTGATTATAGTCAAAAACTTCACCATCCAATAGAGTTTTCAGCAATGATGAAAATGTTCTGAGTCTGTGCTGTCCAAGATGGTAGCCATTAGCTACCATCTTGGACAGCACAGACAGCACAGAGCATTAGAAATCTAGCTACCATGGCTAAGAAACTGAGTTTTTAATTTTAACTTCGTTTCAAATAGTTTTGTACCAATGAAATCTCTCCAGAAGAAATTAAAAGAACTCTCAATACAATGCAGTCTCCCAGCTGCAAACAGCTTATCTACCAAAAGCACAGATTCTAACTCACTCCAACCCTCACCCCAACCATTACCCAACGTACCCAGAGGTGGGCCTCGCTCCCTCCTCCAGAGTGAGCCTCGAACGGTGGCCTCTGGAAAGGCGTACTTACCCTCACCCGGAGGAAGGTCCTCTTCCTGCTCGCTGGGGGCAGGCAGCAAGGGCTGCAGGGGCTCCATGTTAATAATGAGCTGTTTGTTCAAGGAGTGGGAACTGCGGCTCTGGGTAATGTTGGTTCTGAGAATAGACAAGCCAGATAGAGTTGGTTTCCATTGCAAACACCAGCCCTCCATCCCAGTCGGCTATGCACATCCCAGCTGGGAACTGCCTCTGGAGTCACAATGGGTTGGGCTAGTGAAAGACAGTGTAACACTCAAGACACATAGCCCTTTTTATCCTTAAGGCCCTGACAAAGTGTCCATGTGTCCTAATGTATTTCCCCATGTGTCATCAGACTTGAGCATGCTAGGACTAGGTAACAACACAGAAAGATATCAAAAAGATATGGGAGGCAGGTGTCCCTAGACTAGGCACAGAAAAATGAATAAAGGGCATGGCTCAAACTAATTTAATAACCGCCAAAAACAAAAACAAAACCTCTACAGGCAGGTGGCATAGATGTTCCATAGCTACAAGCTATTGTGTCACTGGACATCCAATTTTTTCTTTTTTTTTAGTATATTTTATTGTTTTTTTACAGAGAGGAAGGGAGAGGGAAAGAGTTAGAAACATAGATGAGAGAGAAATATCGATCAGCTGCCTCCTGCACATAGTAGGGATGTGCCCGCAGCCAAGATACTTCTGCCCTTGACTGGAATAAAACCTGGGACCCTTCAGTCTGTAGGCTGATGCTCTATCCACTGAGCAAAACCAGTTAGGACTGGACATCCAATGTTTCATATTAATGTTTAACATCCCCATTGAAATTCATGCCCCAGTCACCAACCAGCCACAGAATGCAGTTCTGTTTCCCTTTCTCCTGTGCCAGTGGTTGTGACAGGCAGCAGATGGCAGGGCAACCATGCAGATGTCTCATCAAGACTACTGGCTGGAAGCTGGGAAGCCCATTTGCACTGCCTGCTGCAGAGGACCTGCTGTCTAGCCTGACAGAGAGGGAGGTAGGGCACGTATGGTGGTGCTTAAGCACCTTTCCACTCCCCATGTTCCCTGTCAAAACCAAAACCAGCCCAGCCAGAGAATCAGGAGGTCATGGTTGGATTCCCAGTCAGGGCACATGCATAGCTTGTGGGCTTAGTCTTTAGTAGGAAGCTTGCAAGAAGCAGGTGATCAATGATTCTCTCTCTACATTGATGTTTCTATCCCTGTGCCCCTCTTCCTTTCTCTCACTGAAATCAGTGAAAAACAAAACAAACCAAAAAACCCATCCTTCAAATATGATATCAAATGTCTCCTTCCCCTAACACACTCCGGGATTGGCCTCACAACACACACTTTCTGCTTCTCTGTTCACTGGACTCTCCCTTTTACAACCCACCACGTTGGTCACTTCTGACTCTGTGATTATGCTTGTACACATCAGAATGAGCCTCACCTTGATAAACAACATCAGGGCAGAGAGTTCCCTATCCATTCGCCTTACAGCACCTTGATGGGCACCCTGAAGGGTGTTCAAGTTTGAAACAACTGCAATCCTGGCTTAACATAACTGCCATCTCAGACTGACCAGAGTGTCTATCCCAGGCCAGTTGATGGGACTGCCTGATACCTCAGAAGGTGTTTCCATTGGGAGTGGGGGATGAGGCATCAGGGAAGATAAGGGCCCAGCCAGGAGATGACACAGCCTTGCCTCACATGCATCCTGCTTATTCATGTTGACACTCAAAGGTCAAGTTAAGCCAATGACTCTCCACAGAGCAAATAACTCAAAACAGAACCCAGCTGTGCTCTTGCCATGGCCTAGCCAAGTCTGTCTGAGAGGGATTCCAGGGCAGTGAGAGCACCATGCCTGGAACCAGGGCCAAAACACAGCATAGGGCCTGGCAGCAGAGCCCTTACACCCTTCTTGTCACTTGGCAAAGCCGGTGTTTAAATCCCTCTGTCCATAACAGAAGCCTCCCGAGGGCTGGGGAGCACCCACTCACCTGTGCACCTCTGGAGGTTCCCTCTGGATTCTGGAACTCGCCTCCACCACCTCTTTGGCAACCTTTCCGCTGCAAAAGACAAAACACCTGTCTCTGCACAGGCACTCAGCATGGGAGGCAAGGGCTATGAGTATGCATTTTCTTTAAACTTCACAACCTCAACTGCCTGGCCCAGCTCTAGGAGCCCCCACCTTCTCTCCCTCCACACGGGGAAGTCACTATGACATTGGAGAGTGCCCATGAGCATAAAAGACGAGTGAAGTGGAAAAGGGGAACTGAAACAGGGGCATAAGCCCAAGTGAACTGATTTATAAGCAAAACATCCAAATGCCAATGCCTGCCCCCACACCAACCCCATCATCAAAACGAAGTCCTGGGGACCCACCTGTATCGGAATCTACTTCCTTTAAAAAAGATCTTGCTGCTGGACACAGTCTTGATCTGACTGGACTTGGCATACCTTTAAGAGAAAGCAAAGCAGTGGCAGTGACATTGGGAAGCCCAAGTAGGACACATTTGACATGAAGTGTAGCTATGGGATACTTTGACTGCCAGGAAGAAATACACTTTACGGTGTGATTCGACACGTGCACGCACACACACAAACATGAAGGAAAAGATTCACAGAAGAACTGACAACTCTCACAGTATTTGCAAGCTGATCTTTTCTGTTCTCTCTTCATTCTTGTTAAATGTTGGTGATCACACACACACACACACACACACACACACACACAAACACACACCTGCAGCACCTCCTAGTTAAGCAGGACCTGGCCTTAGGCTGTCTCTGTTAGGGATTTGTGTCCTTATCCTCAAAACAAGAGAAAACTTTAGTTACAGTCTTTGGCCAAAAAAAACTTCTCCCTCCACCTCTGCAGACAGCCTCAGCCAGTTTCAAAGGATGAGCAGGGAGAGCGAGGTGGACAGCAGAGGGGATGCAGACCTGCAGAGGGGGCTCCTGTCAAGGCAGAGCCCTGACAACATGAAGTAGAAGCCCCCAGGATAGATAAGACCAAGTGAGAGCTACACCCCAGACCTAACACCTGGAACAGACCTGCTGGCTGCTGGTCAGGGCAGGGTGACAGCCACACCTGGTAAAGAGGAGAAAAGTCTCCAGGAGGCTGGCTTAATGGAAAATGTCCTGCTGAGCCTCTTCCTCATGTGAGGACACACCTGCTCTGGGCCCCTCTGCCTCCTCCATCCCTAAAGAACTGTGGGTGGCCTGGCATTTTTCCAGTGGCCTGAGAAAAGGGCCATCACCACCTCTCTCTCCCTGTCTTCTCAGCAGGATTGTTGCTCCCAAGTCTTCAGCAGTAGAGGGAAGAGAAACTTTTAAAGAGCGACTGTGTTTTGTTTTGTTTTTTTTCTCATTGATTTTGTTGCTGCTGTTAGTGTTTACCTAGGCTCTTAGTCTGCTAAAAAGATCAAGAGCCTTCACTGGAGTATCTGAAATTCAAACTCAGCTCTGTGCCCAGATATAGAGGACACCAAGCCTCCAGGTGTGGCAGGCACAACAGCTCCAGCCACCCTGCTCTGGAGAGAGGTGGGGGCCCTGCTTTCCACTGGTTCAGCCTCAGCTCCCACCATCCCAGGTCCCTCAGCGAGGTCGCCGCCTTCTCCTTATACCCAGACAGGTGGGAGGCCGCTGTGCTGCATGGTACATAAACCCTCAAAGTGCTTCGAGAAAACAGGTCAAAAGACACATTTTGCAGAGAAAGTGCATCCCTGTCTGCGCAGGATGAGGGGAGGGTAGAATGTGTTGGCCTTTTTCTGGCAGCTGGTGGCCCTGGGTAATTATTGGTGTCACTTGATTTGCTCAGAGACACCCTCCCAAGAGCACTACCACCAACCTTCCTCCACAAGTGCCCAGGCGGCTCCTGATAACGTTTGGGTTGAGACCTTCCCTGGGAGTGTATCTGAGAGATTGAGCAACACAAACTCACTGGGAGCTGGGAGACACAGACAGTAGGATGGAAGGATGAGGATGCAGAAAGAGAAACTTGGACTGTCTCAGACCTGCTGGGAGGGATACAAACACTGTTCCTAGGCCATGCCAAGGCTACCCATTGGCATTTAAGAACCTCTGAGTTCCCACATTGTCCTTAAATGACCCAAGAGGTGGTATTTTACTTGGAAGAGCAGAGGCCCAGCTTTCTACTTGCTTCTGGTCTTGTGACCCAAATCAAGCTAAGTCTTTCTGAGTCCCAGTTTTCCCCAAATATTTTTAAAGGGGGGGAAGGTATTATAAACCTAATTCATAGAATTCTGAAGAGGATAAAATGAGATTAAATTATTTGAAAGCACCTACCATGCAACCTGCTCACTATACATGGGTGGACAAAAGTAGGCTTATAGTTGTGAGTGCACAAAACACAGTTTATTCTTGTATTATTTCCCATACAAACAACTGTAAACCTACTTTTGCCCCACCCTGTATAATTGTTTCTGTCCCTCTCTGCCTCCCACCTACCACCCTGTCTCCCTAATATCACCTCAAACCCTCTCCATTGACTTCTCACTATGAAGCTACCAAAGCCAATTCTCTAAATCACAGAAGTTCCTGGGAGCCGTGTCAAACACCCCGGACGCTAGTGAAAGTGCCTTCATGCTCTAACTCTAGCTGATGTGTCCCAGCGCTCTGCCTCCCAGGCTCTCACGTCAATAAGCCCAGAGCCAAAGACTTCTTCCCACCGAAGGCACTACCGAGTTAAAGTAGCAGTTCTCTCGCCTCCAGCCTTCTTACCCACCTGCCTTCTCTCACTTCTGCCTCCACCTTCCTATGAAACCCCAGCATAGAAGCATTGACTCTTCTCAAACATCTGACCTCACAGAGCAGTCCAGACCATCCCCAGTTTACCTGACTTGACAAGAACTGTAAGTTCAAATGGTGGCCTGGTCATGACTTAACCTTTCAGCTGTCACAGCTCTTCACCACCCCCGTCCCCAGATCTGCCAGGGCAGCCACAGGTCCCAGAGACCCATGGCTCTGGGGATTTGCCAGCCCAGCCCTGCGTTTTAAATGGTGTAATGGATGTGAGATGCACCATGCACGTGGACATTGCCTGGAGCATGCAGTGTTTGCTACATGTTGGTATCATATGGTACACGCAGAGCAGCCCTGCAGGAGCACACTGCCCTCGCCCTGCCTCTAACTTTTCTCCTCTGGCACCTGCTGCTGCACAGGCTGGGCATGGAGGTCCAGTGCTTGGGAAACAATGGGCAGTGCCCTAAGAGACCTCCTCTAGAATTAATAATACAATTTCCCACTTTTACATGGTTTACAACTTCTGGAGTAACCATAACAATAACAACATGTTATTATTAAGCACCTACTATGGACTGTGCCCCACCCAAAGCACCTTAAACAGATTAATTTATTTTGTGCCACAGCTCTCTCCTAGGAGGAAACAATCTACATTTCTACAGGATGAAATTGAGGCACAGACTGGTTGTCACTTAACTATGGTCACATGACAGAAGCAGGAGAAACCAGGTTGCAAAGCCAAGTCTCCCTGTATTTTTTAAATAATGCTTTAGCCATGCAGGTTCTCAAACTTCAAGGGGCATCAGAACCACCTGGCAGGCTTCAGAAAACACAAGTTTCAGATTCCGTAAGTCTAAGTGGAGCCCAGGAATGCATTTCTAACACTACTTTGAGAATCACTCCATTTGAGCCCTCAACCCTTGATTGCATGTTTGTATCTCATGGGAAATTTTTATCACTACCAACATCTAGACCCCTCACCCATTTCTGAATTTTTCAAATAAGAGTTTTATCAAGATATAATTCACATACCATAAGGTTTACCCTTTTAGATTGTACACTTCAGTGGTGTTCAGTATAATTCACAAAGCTAATCACTCATCAAGAAATACTTTCATCACCCCAAAAAGAATTGTCCCATATCCACAGGCAATCACTCCGTTTCCCTTCCACACCAATCACTTCCTGTTTCCCTTCCATGCCAGCACAGTGCATTGCACAAAGCACCTAGAAAACACATGGCATAAAGGAAGCTCTGAAATGTGACTAAGTCTGTGTCAGGGATCCCGTGTAGTTTGAAGCAGGAGGGAAAGTCAAAGTCAGAGTTTCTGCTTCTGGGCTCTGTTCCCAGCAGCAGAGCCCAGAGCCAGGGCTTTCAAACCTCATTGGTGGTCCCTGGCCAGCGGACAATGAGCAGCGCATTCATGAGGTGAAAGTACACTTGGGAATTCTTGGCCACCAGGCCTCCCTCTTCCCATGGCAGGTGAAGTGGAAAGGAGGGTCAAACACTCCAATCCAGGAAACAAGATCAGGGCATTGCTCTGCCAGCCAAAACCATTAAAGCATAATGCCGGTGGGGCAGGCTGGAAGCGGGGCCAGGACTTCTGCCCAGGAAGGGGATGGTGCTATGGAGGAAGCAGGTGCCCTCCCTGAGATTAACAGAATCAAAGCCCTTCAGAATCAAACAGACTGGGCTCTGCAATCACTGACATTCTAGAAACTTCCATTGCTAAGAGAGGGGGTAGTAGTGGTAGTCACAGCAGCTGCTATCATGTATCGATGGTTCATGTGCCTGGCAGAACCAAACACGGCAAGGCAGGTATTACCTATCATACTTCACAGATGGAAAAATAAAGAGGAGGCTCGAAGAGTTCAAGTGCTTTGCTCCAGGCCACACTACTAGGAAGTGACAGGGACAAGATTTAAACCCAAGAAGCCCACACTCGTTAACACCAGGCCATAATGAGAGAAGCAAAGCAGACCTGAGTCCTGCCCCTCCAGTCTACAGATCAAAGGCTGGGCCAGAGAGGTCACATAGCTGGCTCAGAATAAGGAACATTTTCCTTCTTACTAAGGAACAGGGATGGCTATGGGATGACGGAGGAACAAAAGCTTCTGGGAAATCTCAGGTCAGTACAAATATTAGGGATTTGGAGGCCTAGTAATTGAGAGGGGCAGCCTGGCCTAACACTAGCAGAGGTGCTGATGCAAAGACTTGGTCAACTCTGCACACTGCCAGCGTGCTCAGCTACACCCCGGCCACCTGAGGCATGCACAGCTGACTGGAAGTGACTTCTCTGACAAGCCTAGTTGGCCCATTCAGTGGCAGAATTATAAGACAGACCTCACTTCTTGATGCCAGCTAATGACTATACCCCAACATGTGCAAAACAGATTTCCCAGACTGGAGTTTCTACTCTCCTCTCCTTCTCTCTTTCTTCTCTATTCAGTTTTGTTTTTCTCTTTGACTACATCTAAGAACTGAATCCCTCACACAGGATAAAACAGCATGTGTGCAAAACAACCAATTAATGTCTTGAGTTATTCCTTGATAGAGATCCCATGATAGCACCAAAGGATCTTCAAGGCCGTGCTGCTTCCAAGGAGGACTTTCTGACTTGGCTCTAAAAGCCTATCTGCTGGGGGTTCTCTGCTACTCCCTCCCCCTCCCTTACACTTGTCTGTGGGTTAGTAGCAATCAACCCCAACTAGCATTCCTCTGGCACCTCATTCATGATGGCTGAGCTCTCTGGATCTGGCTCCAAGATCTCCTGGCCTTTCATCACCTCCCTTTCTATTTCATTCATCTATCCTCTGCTCTAGCCTTATATAACTGCTCATCCTCTGGATGCATGTCTTCCCATCTCCACCATGCTCCCTTACTCAGAAGGCCCCCCCTCAACTTAAAGAACCTTCCTTCCAATTCCTACCTCCCCCATAGTAAGACTCACCCCTCCTGAACTCCCCTCTAGCATTTTATTTGCATTTCTTTTTTAATCTGCATCATAAACTACAAATCTCCTGGCACAGGAACCATACCTTATCAATATGATTCATTAATTCTTTTTTGAATACTGGGGGGTCTTTAGGAAATAAAAAGATAAACAGAACCTAGTTCATATCATCAGAGAGATCAGATCTAATGCAGATATAAAATATACAAAAAATGTCATGATTTATATTTTTTATCCTGTTTTGGCTGTGTTTCAAGAGTATCTATTAACTCCCTCATCTGTAAGAAAATATCCATTCAAAAATAATTAGCTAAATGTCTCTCAATTATTATTTGACAGGAACCAGATGATCTCATTGACAGATGAACAGAGGAGTTCCAAAAGCTTAGGCCCCAAAAACAGTTTGTCAGGTTCTCAAAAAGTTAAATACAAAGTTACTCTATCACCCAAAGTTACATTCCTAGGTATAAACCTAAGAGAACTGTCCACAGGAAAAAAAAAATTATATGGATTTTTTTCCAGTTGTGAGAGTACATTCAACCCAAGCTGAGAGTAAGCCAGAAGTGCCAGAGAGTATAACTCCACCCTCCAAAGTGGCCCTCAAGTAAAATGAGTGAAGTATTGGTAGATAAACAGCTCAGCATCTTTGCAGGTCAGTGGGTGAAATTTGATGTCTGTTCTGCAGTCTGCCAGAGCTCCCCTGCAGAGCAGAGCCCAGCTGCCCACAGGGTGACCTGCTCAGTAGCACCCTCCTACATTGCTTGCTTTCCCACCTCCCTTTCCCACTCCCCATTGCTATGCATAGTGACCATATCCCAGAAAAACCACTTGCACTAACCTCCTCTCAAGGTCTGTTTCTGAGCAAGAAAACCAACCAAATATAGGTTCTATTACATATTGAATGGAAATAGCAATGACAAAACAAGCAAGCAACCCATAGCAATTCTATGGGAAACACCCAACATGGAGCTCAGGACTTGCTCGGGCCAACAGTGAGAGGAGACACCCTGGACAATGCACCAAATTCATTATTCACTTAAATATAGTAAGAAAGACTATATTAAAGGAAATGAACATGGAACTATTTGCAAAACATAAGGGGATCCATGGGTGTTTTAAAGCCTAAAATTAAAAGAATAAAAACTACTTACTTATAAAAGGCCTGGTTCTCCACCCCACACTTCCAAAGATGTTTGCAGGCAGCTGGTGTTGAGGTATGGAATGCCAACATGGCTTTTTTCTAATAAAAAATAACAAAACAAAAAAGGGCATTTTAAACAGTTTTTCTTTTTTTTTCTTCTTCAAGTAGCTTGCGTATTACTATGTTCTTGAAAGTGTTGGTGAAATGGTATTATTCCTCGCTTTGCAGACATCACTAATCTATCTAGGCCTTGTTTCTGATAGAAAGCAGCCTCACAATTTTCAAGTCTCCAGGCATTGCTTACCTCTCAATCAGGGTTGGATTTGTTAAAAAATGTATTTGCCCACCTTAAACAACTAGTGCTTGGACTAAAAACTAGGGTCAGGAGATTCTGCAAACCTCCAAATCTAGCTCTGGGCTCAGAGTTTCAGTGCTGGCCTCTTCCCAAATGTGTTCCCTGGTGAACACAACCTATGTCTGGTGACTTTTTTATTTTAAGATTCATGGATCTTAAATACTTTCTTTATAAAACTCTAACCATCACTTGTTGTTACAAGCTTTGTAAATATTATTCAGTTTCATGAATCAGTATTTTGGCAAATTACAAAGGTAGAAGGGAATCCAATTGCTAAATCTCAAGTCTATCCCAGTCTATGTTTTACACAGGGGTACTCACTCAGCATTGTTTACTGACTTTATTCTTAAACTAGAGGCCCAGTGCACAAATTTGTGCATATTGAAAGGAAATTTGAAGAACTAATTTAATATCTCTATTCGCCTTTTCTATATAATAGAAATGTCAACCAAATTCATGATTGACAATGACAGATCAAAACACATGTGTGAGATTTGTGCCAGCAAGAACTATATGTATCATGCATGCATGAGTCTACTGAACCTTTTATAGATATAGAATAAACCTGCTTAATTAGACCTTCTTTCTGATTTAGCTAAACATTTTTCATCCCAGTGAAGCACCCCAACTTCTCTTACAGATAATTGAGAGCAACACAGCAGTAAATATCAACACGAAGCAGATTATTATTGTAGATCATGCAGGGAGAACAAAGGGTAAAATATTTAACTGCAGCAGTGTTTGACTATATTCTGCACAGTGAAAAAACCTGAAGTCATTTTCAAGGTCCACCATTTCTTACTCCTTTTCAATTGGGTCAATTTCTAAGCTTTCTAAATCTCTATTTTCCAGCTAATGAGAAGAAAATAGAATTCCATTTAATCTCCTATCTACCTACTCCAGACTTCTATGAGGATCAAATGAGATGAGGCATGGGAAAACTCTTCACAGACATTTGGTTACAGTGTAAAGTGTTTCCATCTGGCTATAAAGCAAGCCATGCTCCTGGGCTGAAGAAATAACAAGGAGGCTAGTTGCTAGGGAGAAGAAGCTAGCATTGCTGTGTGACATCATTACTCAGTCTGTCGGACCCTTAACATATTAGCCTATATATATATATATATATATATATATACAGCACACACACAAACCCAATGTTTGTTTACCTCTCAAATATTCTCAGCATATAGCTTCCATTATCACCACACAAAAAAAAAGTCATGATCTTTGGGGGCTATAATGCCAAAAGCATATCTTATGCTTGAATCTCTCTCATGGGCATGCACACGCACACTCATATTCACACTCACACAATAACAGAGCTAGAAAAGCAGTATCTGACCTCCTTCTGGGTGCCAATCACATAAAATGTCTTCCCTTCAAACTTCAATTTGCAGACATCTGGCCTAAGAAAAAAAAATCTCTTTGGGTGAGAAGGCAAATAAAGTAGCAAGTGACCCAGGTACCTGGTTTTCCCACAGGAGTGCGGCTGTCTCACAAATGCCAAGCAGACTGCACTGAAAGAAGACATTATCTGACCATCGGTGAAGACCCAATGAGCAGGGGAATGCCCCGAGTGAATTACACAGCAATGTTCTTCCCAAGAGAATATCCCCAGGCAGCTCAGAACTAGTTATCCCATTTTTTACAGGTGAGCTGCACCTTACTTCCAAGGAGCTCTCGAAGTCCCACAAACATGAACGACCCTAGCAACATGAAGGGGCCAGCCCACTGTGTGAGGCAGGAAGGATGTGGTTATTTCAGATTCAGTTAATGAAATGACATGGATTCACAATATCTGTTCCCTCATCCACCTCAAAGAAGCACACACGCCACACCATGAAATTCTTATTCCTGTTCTCCCTGTTTATTTCATCATATATTGAGACACTCAGAATTAGGAGGACAGTTTGATGAATGGGAATATAAAGGAGCTGCTTGATTAAAATCTGCCTGAAATGTAGACCCCAGATCACCTCCTTGGTGAGAAAATATGTGTGGAGAGAAGAGAGGAATCTATTTTTATTCCTTTGATCTCATTCTTCAGATAGTGATATAGGCCCCCCTGCTTCTCCTGGGGAGGGTGGAAAGGGGGAGAATAGTGAGGGCACATTAAGATGTTGTAATTTAGGTAGAGGATTTTCAAGGATGACAAAATGGATGTTTAAAAAAAGAAAAAAGAAAAACACACAAAGATTAACATGAAAAGAAAATTTGTTTCAGTAATAATACATAGCTGTTAGAAAGACATGTGCCTAGCAGAGGCTGGGAAGAATGAAGTTGGTATCAGTACCCACCAGGAGGTAGAACCCAGAAACAAAGAATTGTCCTTTCAACTCTTCAATGTACAGGAAAACTGAGGTCCAAAGAAGGGAGAGACTTGCAATAAATCTGCACTTGAGATGTGTCTAGTTCTAATTCCAGAGCTCAAGCAATTCAAAACCTATGAATTTAACATCCTAGGGTGGGATAGAAGAAGTCCCCAGATTACCCATGCTTCCCAAAGTCAGTAGGGAACTTATTCTAGAACATTGTTGAAAGTATGAATATAGTAAAAGGCTACCACAGACAGGACAAGGAAGACAGAGAAACTGGACACCTTAGAAAGAGAGGGATGATCATGACATAGAGCAGAAGGTGGAAGGAGAGGAGTGGGCATTAGCTGATTAAGGTTAATCTAGGAGAGTCTGAAAGGAAGGGGGCACCAACAGGAGAAGGTGGGAAGGGCTACTTTATAAAGAGGTGCTAAAGGAAATTCTGAAGCCATAGAACTATGTACTGAAGTTCAGGCAAGTGCAAGAGAGCATTTCCAACCCAGGACTGAGGATGGATGCCCACTGGCCCATCAAGAAAACTTCAGATTCAAATGCTCAAACCAAAGGAGTGAGCCTGCCACCCAGAGACACACAGCAGGAGTGACGTACCTATCAGGGACCATCAGAGAGGTAACTGAATTGAGCTGAAGATATGAACAAGACTAAGCCTTTCCAATATTCCATCACACATATAATATTAAGCCCTCTCCACTCTTCACCAAAACCATTTTGCTCTCTGACTGGAGAGAGTGGGTGCTACGGGTCACCTGCCCTGCTCCATCCTTCCACTTATTTACTGACATAATCTAGGCTTTATTCTTCCTCAAGGTCATTTGTCCATGCAGATCCTGCTCTTCTCAGCCCCAAACGGGTGAATCTTGATTTGACCACCTTTCTTCTGGGAAGGATTGGTTTAAGTAGGCACATGCAACCCAATCTTGCCCAATGGATACACAGAAAGTCTCCTACAGGACTTCTGAAAAGGTTTTCCTTGCTTTAATAGCAGACATGTGGAAGGCTGCTCTCCTCCAGTCTTGGGTGCTGCTGTGTGAAGATATAAAGGCCACAGTTGCACACACTGCCATGCCATTTTATGAGCCTGGAGACAAAAACTACTACTCTGTAATGGAAAAGAAGAAAATAGAAAGACCCAAGTCCTACATAATGTTGTTGAGCAGTTAAAGGATCAAGGAACTGTCCAATCTCTATATCTTACTATGTGAGCTAATCAATCCTCTTATTTGTAAGCTAATGAGAGCAGCCATTGCTGTTACTCTGACCAAAAGCATTTCCACTGAAATACTGGATAACAGAAGGTAAGTCTGCAGCAGGATTCAACAGAACAGAGAAAAGTGAATGGGAGGGGCTGGATCCTGAGTTGCTCAGAGGAACTTGAACGTTTACCGGCCCTGACCTACACCTGGTCAGTAAAGAAGCTACTGGTGTGGAAACAATGGACACCTTCTCTCTGGAGGCAGATACATCACAGGTCCTCTGAGTGGACACCTTAGGTGGACAAATACAATTCCCTCCTAAGACAGGGCAACTAGAATGGGTTTCATTTATAGATACAAATCCCTTTGTAATGAGGTTCCAAGGCAAAGAAATGAATACCAGGTACTCTATCTGACATTTAAAAAAAAAAAAAAGTCAAAGGTGGAGAATGAAAGACAAGATTAAGAAAAATGATAAGCCAGTTTTCCAAAGAAGCACTCACCATTTTATCAAATGGATTCTCTTATTTCCCTGAAATACCACAAAGCCTGCAGCAGTGAATCCCAAAAATGTGGTTGTGCCTGTTGAATCCTGAAAAAAAGAGAAACATTTACATTTAGGAATATTATATATATATATAACCCTAATATGCAACTAGACTAAACCTGAATGACGGAACAACCAAACAACTGAACAGCCAAACAGTGGGTCGCTATGACATGTGTTGACCACCAGGGGTGAGTGTAGAACATGGTGGCTGTTGGCAGCAGGCAACAAAGCCTGGAATATGGCAAATGTTGGTCATGGCAGGATGATGGAGCAGTAAGTGGGGGTGCCAAACCAAGGTTGCTGTCATAGGAGTGAGTCTCTGGTGGTTACTGAAAATTCTTTGCTCCCACGAGCCACAGTCCCACCTGGAGCTTGCTCCTGCTACCAGTGCTGGCCCCAATCACTTGGCATCATCATTGGGTGCAAGTGGTGGATGCAGGCCCTGGGGGCTTCTCCACCTCCCCCTGCTCTTGAGGGGTAATTGGGACAGCAGCTGCCTCTCACACCCACTGACAGCGCCAGCCCCCCTCTCACCCACTGCTGGTACCAGGTCCACACTGTTAGCAGGTGTGAGCAGCAGTTGCAGGAGTGGGGCTGCTGGCAGACAGGGGCCCCAGGGGAAGGAGGGACACAGCAGGAGGGGCCAAGACCCACCCATGTGCCCACTACAACCTCACAGCCCACAGTTCCTTTTAAGGTGCACAAATTTTTGCACTGGGCCTCTAGTAAATAAGTGATATGCTTAGTCATCCTCACCCTGGGTTTATTTCAGGTTAATTCTAATGATTGTAATAATAAACTGAGTTTCTGAAATGGGATTTAAAAGGGTAGTATTTCTAAAATCTGGGTGAGGTCCAGAAATGTGTAGCTTTTCCCTGTGAGGAACTCTGTCTCTGCAGGAACCTCCTGGGAAAGTATGGATTAGCCCTAAACCACTGTGTATCTACTTCCAAATGCCTTCTGGGCCGCCTGAATTCTCAGATCTTCCCTGTAATGTGGACAAACTGTTCTTGGTTGTCATTAGCCCCGAAACCAAAGATGGTATGAAACCAAAGCCCTGAGCATCTAATTAAGTTGATTCAATCCTACACAGGATTTCTAGCAATTTTCATATAAAGATATTTCCTACTTCACTTCCAGGAAGACTAAGCATTGATAAATAAAGGCAAAGGAACAACAAGTTTAGTTGGTCTCCAAATAATAAATCAGAGAGGCTCAGATTTGTGTATAAAACCTAATTCACTAAATGAAATAATCTGATTTATACCAAGACTAGGAAGAGGCATCTGGCAAATATCCTAAAATATCTGTGTGGGGAGACCATAAGATGCATGTGTCAGTATGGACAACAACCACCGGCTCTCTGCCTCAGCTACATGTTGGAATCCTCTGGAGAGCCAGGTCTGCACCTCCAAAAGATCCTGATGGAACCGGGCAGCAAGAGCTTAGGAAGCTCCCCACCTGCCTGTCATGAGAAGCCTGATCCTAGAGCTATAGGACTATGGCACTTGACCAAATACAACTATCTGTTCCCATCTGAGTCAAGAAATGTTCTGGTAAGACTCAAAAATTACCTTTAAGAGCTTGCCATACATACATGCTTAGTTTAGGATTTGGGTTAGTGCCAGGTTAATGCATACTTAGTTTAACATATGGAAACTAAACCCAAGCTTTCTCATAAAACATTTCTGGAAAATGTGTGCATGAGCACCACCTTGGGAACTTGTTTAAAAGGCAGATTCACCAGCTGCATCCCAGCGATTTTGCATCAGTGGCTCTGGGGTGGACCCTGGTGATTCTGATACACTGGGTCTGGGTTTCATGCTTGAGGGAGAGGCTGTCAAGTAATAGGAGTAAAGGAAAAGGAAAAACAAATTCTCCTGATATGAAAGTATAATTGTAAATCTTTTCTTTTTTCTTTCTTAATTTTTTAAGGTTGCGTTCTTGCTGGCATCAGCTTTGAAAATAAATGTTAGGACCCTTTTCTTTACCCAGATGGGACTGGATAGTAAGTCCTAAATGTTGAGACTTCTCAGGGGTAAAACCATCCACTTGATAGGTGAATGAATCCATGCATGTGCATTTAGGAATTTGTGACTACTGCACAGCAATTAGAAAAATTTGTTAGAGTCCAGCGGCAAGAACCAACAGCAGGAGCCAACTACCAAAACATGTGACTGCAGACCTTCCAATTAGGTGGGGTTAGGCTGTGGAAATATCCTAGGAGGGGTCTGCCAGGCATACACAGCAATTAACTCTTTCAGGGTAAAATACTCTTTAAATATCAACCTGTAAGGGGCAGTTACCTTGCATGGGTGAGGATCCACCCCGTAGGTTTCCAAAGTGTGAGCTTTCAGGAGTAAGTTAAATTCAGCAACCGGCGGGCTCTGGCCTCTAAAATCACACACACACAAATTAGGGAGTTAATACATAAAGTAACAGAAACATGGAGTCCCTCCATTCCATAAAATGTGATATCCTAAACTAAAGAGCAAAATCCCTGCACAAATAATCATCAGTCAGACTGATTATCATTCCTCCCCAAGAGGAGCCCTCTGCCAAGGAATCTGAGCTCTTGCTCCCTGGCTGATGGCTCCCTCATAAACCCGCAAGCACTCAGAGGACACCCGTGACTGTACACTTAATCAAGGTTATCAAGTTACCAATAAGTAGGCCCTTGGAAATGCAATCTTACTATGAAATAAAATGCAGCATCTGTTCTTTCCAGCTTACTTAAAAAGATTACCGGGGTAAGTGACATTCCTTCTTGCTCAGGGTAGAAAGTGGCAATCCCGTCACCCCATCAACAAGCCTAAACAGAGCCATCTGAGTAAGAAAGAACCATCAACCGTTCTACTGGAAAGCCCTGGATTTTAAAAGGAAATCTCAGCCACTAGTCCCAGCACTATCCTCCAAGGTGGTACACAAGGTCTTGGCCTCAAGGGTAGAAGAGGGCTACAAAGAGAGATGCTGTGAAAAGCCTCTTGGGGATGACTTCCATACTAGGACTGTGCAGCATTCAAGACTCTTTGGCTGACATTAATGTCCCACGTGTATCTTAGAGCATCTGAACTATTCCCCAAGGGTGAATATATAACCCTAACCACCAAGAGGAGTGCGCTATAGAAAACAACAGGGATCATTTTTCTTTTCAAAAGGTAAAACTTAGAAATACATATAAAGTACATTTATAAAAGCAAGAGGAGAGAATGAATAACCCCCAGTTTAGCATAGTGTGCAAAAGGGAGGGAGGTGACCTGGAAGGGACACAGAGGAGACTTCAAAGCATCTGGTAACATTCCAATTCATAAGCAGAGTTAGGGTCATGGGTATTTCTCCAACTACTCTTTAAATTATACATATATTACATACACGGTCTTATATAATCTCTTATGTGTTATGTATTTTGCAATTATTAAATGAAACAGCTCCTGGCTTTTAAATAAAAGAATTATTGGATGAAATATTATGTAATCTAAGAGCACACTGAACTAAACAGAATTAATCAGGATTATAAGAAATATATGTGCAGAGCTGTCTTTCATTAAACCCTACTGATCCAACCAACATATAATTGTTTCTATTACCAAGCAATATATCTTTTTTTCACCCACTATTTATAAAGGAGGAATTCTTTTTTAAAAAATATATTTTGTGTTGATTTCAGAAAGGAAGAGAGTGGAACAGCAAGACAGAAACATCAATGATGAGAGAGAAATCATTGACTGCTTTGGGTTTGCCTGCAGAGCTATTAAATGTTTGGCTAAGCATTTAAAAGATTTAATCTAAAAAGTCACACACAGGGAAAGGCCAACTACAAACGTTCAGAGAAGGGGGTTCAAAGCCAAAGGATGTCCCCCGCACTCACTGAGGAAGAACACATTAAATGATCAGGTTTTCAGGAAGATGCTAAGATCAATTAAATAGAAATGCTTTGTTTTATTCCTTCAAATCCCTCGTTGGACATTAGTTTCTGGCAAAAAGTCTGTTGGGGAATGGAAAATAATGATTTTTTCTAGCCTTTAAATCTTGCATCAGGAACCGTTCTAAGGTTAATAGTGTCTCTAATGAGACATTTGGAAATAAAAACAGTGATTAGTTAAATTATTTTTTAAGAGCTAACAATTCTCTAAAGATGTGCTTCTATGATAAATTAGGTGAGATCAAGTCGTTATGTATTTAACTATACAGATCCCTTCTTCCCATCCTGACTTTCTGCCAAAGAAGACCACTCTCTTATTGATCTGCCTTTAGCAGTCCATTACATAGAGTACAAAAACATATAGCGTCCCCAAAATGAATGCAAATTATATAGTGGACATATATTGTGGAAGGTGTGGGTCTTCCAGGGAATGACCTGCACTGTATGGGGCCCATTTGGCAGGGAAGGGGGTGATTTGACTCCACCTGATCCATCTGGGTCTATGAGCTCCAAAATTCAACTCTTGGGTAGGAAACCAATATAATGGTCTTCTACAGCCAACTGGCATTCTCAACTTGAGTTAGGATGGCTTTTGATGCAACTTGGTTGCAACTTCAGTTCAATTTTGCTCACTCCTGACTTCAAATGTGTGAGTGATCTCTGGACTTGCCCTGTGGCAGAGCTTGGGATCTTAGCACCCAGGAGACTCCACAGAACTCTCTAAATTTCATGGCCTGTCAACTTTGTGAGCTGCAGAGCATCTTCTTTGCTCCTTAGTGTTACCCCTGGCTCTCTGCACTTGGATCTTTTCTCCTCCCTGTGGTCCTGCCCCCATCATTGGCAAGAGCCGCCCTGCCTTGGCCAAGGTCTGGAGTGTCTCAGAGGGATTTCAGTCAGCTCTCCTCTCCTGTCCAACTTCAGCACACTGCCCCTCTCCACTCAGTGAAGGCTGGGGCCAAATGGTGGTAGGAAAGTGCAACTCACTCTGTAACTGGCTTCTTCAGGATCCAAATCAGTCAAGTCAGCCCACTCCTGGCCAATTCCTCTTCCTCCCGCCATGCCTCCAAAAGTGAAAGCAACTGCAGATCTCCACTCTCCTCAGAAGGATGGTCTGGATTTTAGTGCATTTGGATTTCTTTGTATCCTCAGCAATCAGATAGGTTTTACAAATACCTTTTTTTTTGTAGTTTATATAGTTTGTTGATGTTATCTTGGTGATGGGGAGGAGATCAATGTCTCATGCTTTTCTACCTCCTTACTAGAAGTGAGAGCCCCCAGTCTCCCATCTCTGATTTTTTCTAAGAGGAACATTATCTCTTACAAACTCCTTGAGGACCATCAGGGACCATTTCTATGCAGAGAATTAGATAAAACACTGCAAATTGGGGCAAATGCCATGTGATGGGGAAGACAGTGATAATGCATTGAAACTTGGCAAGGACAAGACTAGCTGGAGAGCAGCAACTTAGATATCAGAGCACTCAACAGGAAAACTCCAGTTTAGGTCCAGGTCTGCTGCTTCATAATTGTGCAGCCTTGGATAAGTTAATCCCTGAGACCTCTCTTTCCTTATTGGTAAAAGAAGGTGGTTTCAAACTCAATGCCAATGGAGGCAGAAAGTGAATTGGCTAAATATGGATGATGGTGATTCAAAGAGTAAATTGTTCCTTTAAAGGGCCCTGAGTGTGCCATGCAAAGGTCAGGCCCTAGAGTTACCAAATCAACCAGGTGCAAGGAAGCTAGAACTTAAATAAAATGATTCCATTTTTAAAAGCTATTATTTGGCCCAAAAAGCATGGATCTGGTCAGGGTATAGTCCACATAATGCAGAGGTTTTGTTGTTGGTTTTTTTTTGTGTGTGTGTGTGTGTTTGGGTTTTTTGTGTTTTTTTAATATATTTTACTGATTTTTTACAGAAAGAAAGAGAGGAATAGAGTTAGAAACATCGATGAGAATCATCGATCAGCTGCCTCTTGCACACCCCCTACTGGGGATGTGTCCGCAACCAAGGTACATGCCCTTGACTGGAATGGAACCTGGGACCTTTCAGTCCTCGGGCCGATGCTCTATCCACTGAGCCAAACCAGTTTTGGCAGGGATTTAGTTTTTACAGGAGGAGTATTCGATGCCAAATCGCTGTCTTCACGTTCCTAATAAGGGTGTTATACCAAGTAACAACAGAGAATGGAAATGGATTTGATAACCTACCAGGGAGAGAGATTCTGAGGTTTTGGAATGAGAGATTTAAGAAGGAAAAGGACAAGGGGAGGGGGAGAGAGGTGGTAGAGAGATGATAGAGTAAAGCACATGTTAAGAAAGATTAGAGCTATAAAATAACCTGACATTTCCCCTCTTCCTTTTATACAATAAACACTCTTCTCAAAACTGCACAAAAACATTTCCTAAGGAGGCCCTTGTGATCCATTCATTAGAAGCATAGGTGGAAAAAATTTATCATAGCAGGGCACTTATTTCTAAAAACTATAAATCCTTGATAGGAAGCCACAGCATATGATTTACAGAAAATGTGAGTTTTGTGAAATAAAAAGAAGTAATGACTGTGTAAAACACACTCAGTGTCATTATTCCTTTCAGCACAAACCTTAAAGCATTAGATCACTGTGGTGGTGGGTAATTGGATAATTTTTCTGCTCTTTAAGGTTAAGGAATATAGAGAAACCCCCTTTATCTATGGTGTATTTGTCTAAAAACCCCAGTAGATGTTTGAAACCATGGACATACCAAACCTTTACATAGTACGGTTTTTCTTATACATACCTATAATAAAGTTTAATTTATAAATTAGGCACAGTAAGAGATTCATATAATATAATTAAAAAGAATAATTTAACAATATACTGTAATGAAACTTATGTGAATCTGATCTCCTCCCTTTCCCTCTCCCTCTTTTATATATTGATATATATATTGATATCAGAGAGGAAGGGAGAAGGAGAGAAAGATAGAAATACCAATAATGATCGGCTGCCTCCTGCAAGATGTGCCCTTGACTGAAATTAAACCCAGGACCTTTCAGTCCACAGGCCTACACTCTAGCCACTGAGCCAAACTAGCTAGGGCTCCCACTCCCTCTCCCCCTCTCTCCCCCTCTCTCCCCCTCTCTCCCCCTCTCTCCCTCTCTCTCCCTCTCTCTCCCTCTCTCTCCCTCTCTCTCCCTCTCTCTCCCTCTCTCTCTCTCTCTCTCACACACACACACACACACACACACACACACACACATACACACACACACGATAGCTTATTGTACTCCACTCACCCATCTTGTGATGATTTTAGGTGATACCCTAGATCACATGTGTCAAACACAAGGCCCGCAGGCCAAATCCGTCCCGCCAGGCCTTGCAATGTGGCCCGCACCGTGTTGTCATCACTGCACTCCGCTGCGTTTCCATCACAATGACAGTTTATGACTGTTCAGTAAACCATTCGGCCCGCGATTTAGGCTGGATTT